AACCTTGTAAAGGATTGCCAACACGGATTTTATGCCAGGGCGCTCCTGCTTAACACAATTACTCTAGGTAATGGATATTTGGACCCAATTCTGGAACAGGGTGGTAATTTCGACAATATCTACCTAGATTTTGCCAAGGCTTTCGACATTGTACCCCCACGAAAGGTTGAAAATTAAACTGGAAGGGTACGGAATTCGGGGAAATGTCCTCGCGTGGATAGAAGACTTTCTACATAACCGCAAGCAGTGTGTGGTGATTAATAGCATGAAATCATCATCTGTATCTGTCACAAGCGGGGTAGAGGGAAGTGTATTGGGCCCGCTGATGTTTGTTTGTTTGTTCCATAAATGACATGCCAGAAGCTATACACTCCAAATGGATGACGGCAAGTTATTTTGGGAAATCAAGAACCAAGCAGACTGTGAAGAGCTGTAGAAGGATCTCTGTGAGCTCCAAGAATGGTCGAAGAAATGGCTGCTGAGATTCACTGTCACGCAGTGTAAGAGGATGCACCTGGGGCGTACCAACGGTAAGGAGGCGTATCATATGTCCCAACGGGATGAAGAAACTGCACTATTTGAGACTGAATGTGTGAAGGACCTACAGGTAGATGTGTATGTTGGCAATGAGCTGAAGTTCTCGGGCCATTGCGAGAAGAAGGTAAATCAGGCAAATAAATCATTAGGTCTTATAAGAAGGTCGTTCATATATCTATACGGTCCGTCCCTCGTAACGATCTTCAAGAGTAAAGTGCTTTCCCATCTGGAGTACTGTCACCCCGTCTGGTCCCCGAGATATACAAGGGACTGTCAGTTGATTGAAAATGTTCCCAGACTTGGGAACCTCAACTACCCTGAGAGATAGGAGCGCCTTAACTTGCCTAGCTTATACTACAGTCGGGCAAGGGGCGACCTAATTGAGGTATATAAGCATCTCAAGGGGCACTACTCAGTCGAGTGTCCTTACCTGGATCTGACGGACGCTTGCCCCACAAGGGGTCACAGCTCAAGGTTGAAGAAGCCGCAGGTCCAGAAAACTGTGAGGGGTAACTTTTTCCGAGTGAGTGTTGTGAACTCTTGGAACAATTTGCCAGAGAGTGTGGTGACGGACCCAAGTGTGATCTCTTTCAAGACCAGACTTGACCAACACTGGAGCAGGTTCAGGTACATTCAGGAGCCGGTGCATGCCCAGTACTTGCCAACAGTGTGTAACCGAGACTTGACCGATAACCGAAGCGGATAACGAGCCGATCGGTGGTGAAGAGAATAAAAGTAAAAGTAAGTAAATAACTAACTAGGACGGTATGGTGGCCAAGTTGGAACACCACGCAATGTTGTCCTTCAGATTTAAATTATTTGGTTAATGAAAAAACCAGGCCAAAGTTCAAATATTACAAGGGTAATTACGACGGGATGAGGGAGGAGATGAGGGGTATCCACTGGTCTGACTCACTAAAGTATAGACACTACTCTCAATATCATAGCCAGTAAAGTGAACCATTTCATCGATAAATATGTACCCAAGACCAAACCCAGTGCCTCCAGGAATACAAGGAGACTGCTGCACATGAATCATGCGGCGGTCGACAAAGTTAAGAAGAAAATTCAGAAATTTGAGATGTAGGTTAGGACAGGAGGATGTATGCCAGATCTAGGAACCAAGCAAAGATAGAGTGTAGAAGAGCTACGCAAATTCGAAGTTAAAAACGCGAGTAGGCGTATCGGACCTGAGGCTTGAAGATGGTAGTTATGCAGATTCTGACCAGGATAAGGCGGAAGTGAAAAACAAATTCTTTTCCTCTGTGTTCACAAGAAAGGGTGCGAAATCTTCCTGCAATTGAGGATAGTGCTACCCACATTATGTTCTCAGAAGAGGGTGTAAGAAATAAATTGTCAAAGTTCAAATGAATCCCGGACCTGACATGGCGCATCCCAGAGTGTTAAGACAGTTGTGCAATAAAGCTTGTTGAGCCCCTTAAGATTCTGTTCTGTAAATGCCTGGAAAGCAAAAGGTCCCTAGTGATTGGAAAATGGCTTATGTAAGTCCTATCTTCAAGAAGGGCGATAGTTACTCCACGAATAATTATAGACCAGTGAGCCTGATCAGCATAGTATGTAAAGTACTAGAGAGCATAATAAGAGATGTCATGATGGAACATCTACTACGAAACAACCTTGTAAAGGATTGCCAACACAGTTTTATGTCGGGACACACTCCTGTTTAACACATTTACTCAAGGTAATGGATGTTGGACGCAAATGCTGGAACAGGTCGGCAAGATTGACAATATGTACCTAGATATTGCCAAGTCTTTCAACAGCGTACCCCATGAAAGGCTGAGAATTAAACTTGGAGGGTACGGTATTCTGGGGAAGTGTCCTAGCGTGGATCAGAGACTTTTTGCATGATCGCAAGCTGTGTGTGGTGATTAATGGTATGAAATCGTCATGTGTATCCGTGACACGCGGGGTACCAAAGGGCAGTGTATTGGACCTGTTGTTCTGTTTATCTCATAAATGACATGCCTGAAGCTGTACACTCCATAAGAATGTTTGTGCACGATGCCACGATATTTAGGGAAATTAAGAACCAAGCACCCTGTGAAGAACTGCAGAAAGATCTCTGTGAGCTTCAAGAAAGGTCAAAGAAATGGCTGCTAAGATTCAATGTCACGAAGTGTAAGAGGATGCACCTGGGTCGTACCAACGGTAAGGAGGCGTTTCTTATGTCTCAAAGGTATGAAGAAACTGCATTAATAGAGTCTGAATGCAAAAAGGACCTGGGTGTGTATGTTGACAATGAAATGAAGTTCTTGGGCCATTTTGAGAGGGGGTGAATCTAGCAACTAAATGATTCGGTCATATACAAACATCGTTCAGATATCTAGAGGGTCCGTCCCTCGTAACGATTTTCAAGAGTGAAGTGCTTCCCTGCCTCGAGTACTGTCACCCCATCTGGTCCCCGAGGTATATTAGGGACTGTCAGTCGATTAAAAATGTCCAAAGGAGGGCCACCAGCCTGGTACCTGCACTTCGGCACCTCAGCTATCCAGAGAGATAAGAGCGCCTGCAACTGCCTACCTTATACTACAGACGGGCAATAAGTGACCTAATTGAGGTGTATAAACATATCAAAGGGCACTACTCAGTTGAGTGTCCATACCTGGAGGTGGCGTATGCCCACCCCACAAGGGATCACAGCTCAAGGTTGAAGAAGCCACAAGTCCAGAAAACTGTGAGGGCGAACTTTTTCGAAGTGAGAATTGTGAACTCTTGGAACAACCTGTCAGAGCGGGTTGTGACAGCACCGAGTATGAGCTATTTCAAGGCCAGACTTGACCAACACTGGAGCAGGTTCCGAAACATTCAGGAGCTTGTACATGCCCAGAACATGCCAACAGTGCGTAACAGAGACGTGACCAACTGCCCAAGCAGCTAACGAGCCGATCAGTGGAGAAGAGTATAAAAGTAAAAAAGTCACTGTTGGTGTTGAAAATTTATATTAAAGAAACTAATTATTCTATGTATGTGCTGTACCATTATAGGTACAGGGTATTAGTTCTGTTTACTTCTATTATGTTCCATAAAACTTTTTCCTAAAATAGGTCTCAAGTGTCACTTTATATATTTACCTAGTGGCCACACCAACTAGAGGTGGCCATGTCAAGGGAAGAAGGCCAGTGGCCTATGTAGGATCCCTCCATTGTTCTTGGTAATCTTGTCAAGGGCTATGTTGAAGTTCAGTATTGTTCTTGCTTCCACAACTTGAGCTGATAGACTGTTTCACAGGTCTACCACACTCTGTGCAAAGAAGTATTTTCTTGAATGAAACTTGCAGACACTTAGGCTTGTTTTAAGATGTCTCCTCTTTTGTTGATGAAGCGTGACATCACAAAAACTTTTTCTGGGTTTACATTTTCCATCCCTTTCAAGATTTTGAATGTCTGTAAGGAGTCTGCCCCATTGTGCCTTGTGTAAAGATTTGTTAATCTTAAGTCTCCAGTCTACTTGGATAAGTAGACAGAGGGTTTATTGTGCAATTTATACATACCTGTATAGTACTATACAGGTACTGTGTACTGTGTGTGTTCAATGATTACCTATGGAAGGCTTACTTCTGACTTACAGATAATTCGGCTTACAAATAGCCTCCAGGAACAGAACCCATCCATAACCTGGGGAGTGTCTGTAGTTGTGATTAGGTTGCTCTGTCCAACATACAAAATCTTTTATTTTGTAATGTTTAAATGTATTTGCCAGTCCTGCAACCATTTGAATAGCTCCTACAGATCTTTTTGCATGGTTACAACATCATTTGAACTTGGGACCTTCCTAAGTATCTTTATATCATCTGTAAACTTGATAAAATGGCTCAATATATTGTCATCATTAATAGGAAATGTTTTCCAAAACAAGAAGGGCACAAGGACAGAGCCTTGTGATACCCAAATGAGAACTTTTGTTTTCCAATCTGAATGTACTCGGTTTATGACCAGTCTTTGTTGCCTGTCTTCAAGCCAGTGCTTAGTCCACTTCAATAATTTGACTGTGATGCCATGTGTCTGGAATTTAGAGGCTCGTTGTGCATGTGGTAATTTGACAAACACTTTAGAAAATTCCACATGCAACACATCCACCGGTAAATCTTGGTCCACTAAGTCTTTTAACATTTCAAGAAAGGTGAGTAAGTTTATCGGGCACGATTTTCTCTCAAAGAAAATGTGAAGTTAGGCTGATTGGCCTATAGATTTCTATTACACTTTTTCTACCCTTCTTGTGTATCAAGTGACATTGGCAGATTTCCAGTCCCTGTGCACTTATGGCTACTGATTGCACACATGTAAGTGATTTCATGATTCAGCATGAATATTATGTTGGTGTAAAGCATGCAACTATGTATATAAGCACAAGGATATACAGACACATACAAACACTCACCGACATCCATAAACACATGCATATGCTTGCATACGGTACTTAAAAAGAGAAAGGCACAGCACCTGCAGCCACTCAGCTTGTGCTGCATTTTCATCAAATTCATCCACAGGTCTTGAGGTCCAAGCCCAGTCGGAGTTGAGGCGAGCAGCATAAGGCTTGTCATCTGGAGTCATGAGAGATGAGGCAGTAATCTGATCATTGGTGATACCCAAGTCTTCCATGCCCAGACCATCCTGGCACTCACACTGGCAAAACACTCGCACCTCATAGTCTCGGCAGTACTGCTGACCAGCTGAAAAGTGATACAGGTAGTAATAAAAAACTCATACTTTCATCATATGTAAGCATTCTCTCCTCAATATCTAAGAAAGAGCTATCTGTTATATAAAACAGGTATGGGTCCAGGTAAGTGGTTAGTCCAGTCTGGTCTGTACTTTAAAGGTGAACACTAATCAAAGTTTTCCATGAATCATATCTGACCTGTTGTAATTAGAGGCCAATATCTTAAGACACATTACTATCCTGGATTAGTTAATTAATTATTGAAGTTTCCTATATACAGTACCTCTACTGTAAATTGCTCTGTTCTAAGCTTTAGAAGTTAGATGTTAATGTGATTAATTAAAATTGTTAAAACTGTTGATTAAGCATTATCCGAGCAGAAACAAGCCCGGCCCATGAATCAATATCATGGCAAGGTAAATATGAATTAATGTCATGTTATTGATTTCTTTAACCTCCTAAAACCATTTGTATTATTACTGATCAGACCATTGCAATGGCAACACTTTGTATATTTTGGCAGAATTTGGACCCGAATTTTTACATGTGGGCCTTCTCAAATGTTGATTAAATGTACCTAGTTTGATGCAAGTTTTCAAACTTGTTCTTGAGTTATTTTGGGGACACATAAAACAGACGGGACAGAAAACAGAACTTTGCCTTACAGTTGTGGCAGGGTACAGAACTTTGCCTTACAGTTGTGGCAGGGTACAGAACTTTGCCTTACAGTTGTGACAGGGTACAGAACTTTGCCTTACAGTTGTGGCAGGGTACAGAACTTTGCCTTACAGTTGTGGCAGGGTACAGAACTTTGCCTTACAGTTGTGACAGGGTACAGAACTTTGCTTACAGTTGTGACAGGGTACAGAACTTTGCCTTACAGTTGTGACAGGGTACAGAACTTTGCCTTACAGTTGTGACAGGGTACAGAACTTTGCCTTACAGTTGTGACAGGGTACAGAACTTTGCCTTACAGTTGTGACAGGGTACAGAACTTTGCCTTACAGTTGTGGCAGGGTACAGAACTTTGCCTTACAGTTGTGGCAGGGTACAGAACTTTGCCTTACAGTTGTGACAGGGTAATAATGTGATGTTTTACTTTTTTGTGTAAGTAACCACATTTGTTTTATAATAAATAGGAAATAATTATATTACAAGCTTCATCCCTCCTAATGATTATTTTATCTGAAGATACCATGGAGAATTCACATGTCTTGACCTCTCTGCCAGTTACAAAAGTTAATTCAGAGGTTTAATTGTTGGTGTTATATTATATTCTGATTACAAAATGTTTGGTGCAGCATTAATTACTAACTAATGAAGAGAGTGTGTATGAGTGCATAATAACGTGGTTTTCCCAGATACAACCACAGAACAGAATTCAATACTGTATATAAATTTAAATTAATGATATGCACAGCAAAGTGGAATATAAAAAATGCATTAAATAAATCACGCCCTTTACAGAGATAGGAAACTAATCAGTGAGGTAAGAACCGCTTCCTCAAACCTTGGCATATCAAAAAATTACTAAAACAATAAAACCTTATTAAATATAATCAATATATATTACCAGTCATACAATAATCATTAATTGAACATTATATATATATATTTTTTTTAAGTTCACCTAGAGGTTTTATTTCTTGTTTCAGGAGATAACCAAGGCAGATTCAAAACAGAAGCTGTGTATACTCAAGTTTAGACACATAAACACTGTACTGTATCTACTCTAACATCCTTAAATGTATAAACTGTTGATATCTAACATCCTTAAATGTATAAACTGTTGATATCTAACATCCTTAAATATATAAACAACTTTAGAATTAACAGAAAATTGGGGACTGAGCACTGAGGTAATCAATCTACAACTAGATAATTTTTAATGTTTGACATCAGTCATATGCTGTTCATGGGCACATATCTAAGAACTCACCGTTATTCCTACAGCTGACACCGTTTTTGTTACAGGTAACAATAGACTCCACTTCTCCTCCTTGCACAGGTCGACACTCCACCTCAGAAATGTAGTGGTCTGGACACAGTGAGTAAATCTGTACAATACAAGAGTCATCTTCAGGCAAAATACACAAGTGCATCAAAGTTAAGGCCTAACAAACTATTAATTGAAATTTCTTTATCCACTGTTATATTGTGCACAAGTTCTATACATACCGTACAATACAACTGAAATGACATTTTATAGCTTCTCTGAAATTGCTCTATAAATAATGAGTTAAATTTCTTATGATAGAACAGCAAATTGTAAACAGCTTCAGTCTCATTTTTAATACATAATTGGAGTTGTATCTTGATAAAATAAAATACAACACATTCATTTTAGACAATTTTTCTCTAGTGAGATCACCCAGTGTAAATAAATCTTGTATTATGTAAATGTTACTTCTGATTATCACTGCAATAAGTACCTTACGGATCTCTGATAATGATTCAAATTCGCCATCACGATCAGGGTAGTGTTTGTTGTACCATTCACTCCAGCCCTCGTCATCACAGGTCATGGAAACAGAGGGCACCTCAGGTGGGCTGAGAAAGGTTATCTTATTATTACAAAATACTTTTGATAGTTCATCAAGTCTTCTTTAATTTATCTTTAGATATACTGTACTGTACAATACCTGTATTATGAATGTAAAGATGTCACTTAACTTTGGTTGTTATTGAATGCACTAAATTAAGAGAACAAGGAGTCAGACTGACCTTCATACCTCAATATTGTTGTGATATTGTCATACAGTGACATTTCAATGTTCATAGACAGATCACCTAAAATCACACACAACAAATTACTAATAAAAGCCTTTCTTTGTGTTCACAAACAGATTCACAGGAGTTCTGGCCCTGACACGGTGCATCCCAGAGTGCTAACACAGATTGTGCAGTGAGCTTGCCGAGTCCCTTAAGATCCTGCTCAGTAAATACCTGATTGAGCAAAAGGTCCCCAGTGACTGGAAAATTGCTTATGTGAGTCCTACATTCAAGAAGCGCGATCGTCTCTCCACAAATAATTATAAACCAGTGAGCCTGATCAGCATAATGTGTAAAGTACTGTACTAGAGAGCATTATAAGAAATGCCTTGATGGAACATCTACTACGAAACAACCTTGTGAAGGCCTGACAACACGGTTTTATGCTGGGATGCTCCTGTTTAGCACAATTTCTGAAGGTGCTGGATGTTTGGACTCAAATTTTAGATCAGGGTGGCAATATCAACAATAAATATGTGGATTTTGCCAAGGCTTTCGACATTATACTCCATGAAAGGCTGAACATTAAACTGAAAGGGTAAGGCATTTTGGGAAGTGTCCTAGCATGGCTTGGAGACTTTCTTCATGACCACAAGCAGTGTGTGGTGATTAATTGCATGAAATCGTCATGCGTACCAGTAACAAGTAGAGTACCAAAAAGCAGGGCGCTGAGACCATTGATGTTTGTTTTATAATGACATGCCTGAAGCTATACACTCCTCTCCACAAATATTTGCAGATGGTGCCAAGTTATTCAGAGAAATTAAGAACCAAACAAACTGTGAAGAGCTACAGAAAGATCTGTCAGCTTCAGGAGCAGTCAAAAAATGGTTGTTAGGATTCAATGTCACGAAGTGTAAAAGGATGCACCTAGGTCGTACCAATAGTGAGGAGGTGTATCACATGTCCCAAAGGGATGATGGAAAGTATTAAAAGAGACCAAATGTGAAAAGCACCTTGGCGTGTATGTTGATAATGAACTGAAGTTCTCGGGCCACTGTGAGTTTAAGGTGAATCAAGCAACTAAAGTAGTAGGTCTTATAAGAAGTCGTTAAAGATACCTCGTAACACTCATCAAAAGTGAGGTGCTTCCCTGTCTGGAGTATGTTACCCTGTCTGATCCCCGAGATATGCTAGAGACTGTCAGTTGATTGAAAATATCCAAAGGAAGGCCACCAGACTGGTGCCTGCACTACAGCAGCTCAGTTACCCTAACTGAAGTTTATAAACTTCTCAGAGGGCACTACTCCGTCGAGTGTCCATACTTGGAGCTGGTGGACACCCACCCCACAAGAGGTCACAGCTCAAGGTTGATGAAGCCACAAGTCCAGAAAACTACGAGGAATTTTTTTTTCGGAGTGGGAATTGTGAACTCTTGGAACAATCTGCCGGAAAGTGTTGTGGCGGCACCGAGTGTGAGCTTCTTTCAAGACCAGACTTGACCAACACTGATGTAGGTACAGATACATTCATGAGCAAGTACATGCCCAATACTTGCCGTCAGTGCATAACAGAGACGTGATCGACCACCAAAGCAGCTAAGAACATAAGAACATAAGAATGGAGGAAACTGCAGCGGGCCTATTGGCCCATACTGGGCAGTCCCGTTTACACCCAACCCCTATTACTCATACTGAGCATCCAACCTATGTTTGAAGCAATTCAGCGTATTCGAGTTAATGATGATATTTGTGGCTTGTTCATTCATCCCTACTCTGTTTCCAAACCTGGTAGTTTACCCATTTGCGCCTAAATCTAAATTTGTCTAATTTAAAACCATTGTTACGAGTTCGCTCCTGGTTTGGATGTTGAGTACCTTTGTAATGTCCCCTTTGTTTAGCCCTGCCTTCCACTTATACACCTCTATCAGGTCGCCCCTCGCTCTACGTCTCTCAAGGGAGTGCAAATTAAGATGCTTTAACCTGTCTCTATACTCAAGGTTCCTAATGCCCGGGATTAGTCTTGTCATTCTCCTCGAATTCTTTCCAAGGATTCTATATCCATTCTGTAATACGGTGACCAGAACTGAACTGCGTAATCCAGGTGTGGTCTCACAAGAGCAAGATACAGTTTTAGGATGACCTCACTAGTCTTGTAACTAACACTCCTTTGTATGAACCCAAGTACTTTATTAGCCTTGTTACGAGCAAAAACACATTGTTTACTTGGCTTAAGGTTCCTACTTATCATTACTCCTAAATCTCTCTCGCAGTCGGATTTCTCTATGGCATCGTTGTTCATCTGGTATCTGGTTTCCCTGTTTACATCTCCTATGCTGAGTACTTTACATTTGTCCACGTTGAATTTCATCTGCCATTTTTTCAGACCATTCGAAAAATTTGTTTAATCTTCCTGTAGTTTTGCGAGTCCTCGTCAGATTTGATAACACGTCCTATTTTAGTGTCATCAGCAAATTTACTTATGTTGCTGTCAATGCCGATATCTATGTCGTTTATGTATATAATAAATAATAATGGTGCCAAGTACTGAGCCTTGGGGAACTCCACTTGTGACGTTGCTCCAATGGGACTTAGTGCCGTTAATGCTCACTCGCTGTTTCCTGTCCTGTAACCACGCCCTAATCCATTTAAGGATGTCACCTTTGATGCCATGAGCTTCTACCTTTCTAATTAGTCTTTCGTGGGGGACTCTGTCGAAGGCTTTGCTAAAGTCGAGATATACCACATCATAATTGTGCCCCTCGTCCACCGATTCGAAAACTGATGAAAAGAATGTTAATAGATTAGTTAGGCAAGAACGTCCGCTTGTGAAGCCATGCTGGGATTTCGAATAGAGTTTGAAATGATTGCTTCCAGTAATTTGCCTACTATTGATGTTAGACTAATTGGGCGGTAGTTAGAGGATAGTGATCTATCCCCTTCTTGAAAATCGGTATTACATTCGCTATCCTCCAGGATTCTGGTACTACACCTGTTTTTAATGACATGTTAAACAACTTTGCTAAGGGCATACTAAGCTCTTCCTTACATTCCTTTAATACTTTGGCAAATATCTCATCGGAGCCGATCAGTGGCGAAAAGGATAATAGTAGGTAGTAGGCAGCTATCAAACAGGGAGGTACTACCGCCTGGGAGGATCCTGGAAGCATAATGTGTTGTCTAATAGTAGACGCTGCTGCCATATGGCATCACGAAAATTGTGACCAAGTCCCAGGTTGCTAATCTGACTTTCTGCCTCATTTACACACAATTGCTGGGTTTCAATTGTTTCTCTTACTTTGACAACACAATATACTTATATTGTTTCTCATTATTGATCTTTTTTTAATTTTTTGTATTTCTTTATGGCTCTTTATTATTATTATTATTATTATTATTATTATTATTATTATTATTATTATTATTATTATTATTATTATTATTATTATTATTATTATTATTATTATTATTATTATTATTATTAATATTATTATTATTATTATTATTATTATTATTATTATTATTATTATTAGTAGTAGTAGTAGTAGTAGTAGTAGTAGCAGTAATTGGCACTACGGACTTCAAGACCGAGTACGTAGTGGGAAAGGTGAATGAGTGGGTTAGCGAAATCCAAGTTCTATCGGAGATTGCTAACACAGAGCCACATGCGGCCTTTGCAACATTCACCCATGGAGTCAAGCATCGTTGGAACTACCTGATGCGTACCATCCCTGAGATCGGACCCCTCTTCCACCCTTTGGAAGAAGCAATCAGTGTCAAGTTCATTCCCAAACTAGTGAAACACCCTGACTTAACCCTAGCAGAAAGAACACTTCTTGCACTTCCACCACGACTGGGAGGGATGGGACTAACTAATCCAGAGGAGATTGCTGACTCTGAACATCAAAATTCACTTAAGCTCACGGCAGCCCTCACTGACCACATAATAGCCCAGAATGCAACAGGGGAAGTGGACACCAGCGAAGTAAATAAGATCCGTAGGTCCATTACAACAGATCGGCAGCACTGCCAAAATGACATGTTGCAGCAACTATTGCTGCAGGTTCCAGAAAATTTGACAAAAAAAGTAGCTATAGCGCAGGAGGTGGGCGCCTCGAACTGGTTAACTACGTTACCGATAAGGGCAAATGGTTTCAGCCTTAACAAACAAGAATTTACAGATGCCATTGCTCTAAGGTACGGTTGGCCAGTAGATGGTTTGCCCTCCCAATGCGTGTGTGGCTCTTCCTATGATGGCGATCACGCCATGGTCTGCAAGAAGGGGGGCTTCATATGCATGAGGCATGACGAGGTAAGGGATCTCACAGCAAATATGTTGAAGGAAATCTGCCGGGACGTCATGGTAGAACCGACCCTCCTTCCACTGGATGGCGAGATCTTCCAACACAGGACTTCAAACACATCTAACGAAGCCCGTGTGGACGTCAGTGCTCGAGGATTCTGGACGCGGGGACAGCGAGCTTTCTTCGACATCAGGATTTTTGATCCCATGGCCGTTGTCACCGTAACCTAGCTCTCGATGCTGCACATAGGAGGAACGAGAACGACAAGAGAAGGGCATATGGGGAGAGAATTCAAAATGTTGATCAAGGCAGCTTCACTCCTCTAGTGTTCACAACCTCTGGTGGGATGGGCCCAAGTGCAAGATGTTTCTACGCCAGACTCGCGGAGTTGATCTCCGAACAGAAGCAGCAGCCCAGAAGTTATGTTACAGCCTGGATGAGATGTCGACTGTCCTTCTCTCTCCTTCGGTCGGCTTTGCTCTGCCTTAGGGGAACGAGAGCTTCTGCCCCTACTCCGACAACTGCTGCAGATATT